CCACACCCCCCCCCACCCCATGGCCCGCGTTCCCTGACCTCCACACCCCAACCTGTGGCCCATGTTCCATGACCAACCCCCCACAACCATGTGGCCTGGATTCCCAGAAACCCCACACCCCATGGCCCGTATTCTCTGAAACCCCCATCCCATGGCCTACAATCTCTAACACTACCTGTATCCCGCCGCCCCCCACACCCCCCCTGCCACCGCCCAAGACCCACAAACTCTTCTCAATGTAAAGCTGTAAACACTCTCCTCCTCCTCCTGTGGTGACCTGTAATTCCCCTCCCCATCACCTCCGCACCCCTAATCCTCAAGAGGGATTGGGAGTATCCCCAACACCTCCCCACCATGTGGACACCTGCAATTGACACTTCACACCTCACAGAGACCTGAAATCTCTTGCCTGCTGACCCTCCTCACCCCCTACTGCCCTCTACGAACCCCCTCCAATACTCCTCACACCCCATCCACTCACCTATTCCGGCCTTATTCCCCCTCCCAACCCTCTCCACCTGCCTTCTTATCCCTTCTCTGCCCCCTCCGCTCATACCCCCAACCATCTTTACCCTGTCAACCCTTCTTTTTGCAACCTCGACCTTGTTGGTCACACCCCTTTCACCCCAAAACACTCGCCCCCTGCCTCATTCCTCACCATGCATTGCGCCCAGATCCCACCTGCCCCTTTTCTTGACCCTTACCATCCATTAACCCCATTTGCCCTGTCCTTCTGTCCCTCGCCCATCTCTTCCTCTACCTATCCATCCTCAGCACTCTCCCCTCTCACCCGTTCCCCCTCCCTTGCCCGCCGCCTGTCCACCCTTGCCTGACCCCTCCCCTCATCCATCCTCTTGACCCTCCCCAGCTCACTTAACTCACCTCTCTCTTCCCCAACCCTCCCTTCCCATCTCTTTCCTCCCCTTCCCTCCATCTCTTCCCTCCCTACAATTCCCTCATTTCTCAGCTCCACATGCAACGCCACTGCCCCACTCCCTCAACATGCCCTGCCAATCCACCCCATCCTGAACACTCCACACATCCCATCATGTCCCACTCCCTTCATACCTTCCCCCGTCCTTGCCCCCCTCTAGGCTCAGCACCCTCTGCCTCCTTTCCACTCCATTTCTCCCAGTCACCCAGGCTTGCCTCCCACCCCTGCCCCCTCCCTTTCATTCCCCCTCCCTGTGCCACTTGTCTGTCCCTTCCACAGCCTCACTCTTTCTTTCCATTGTAATAAGATGAAGCAGTTAGGTATTTGTCATTGTCTCAGTAAATGCAGTTGTCCTTCAATTTCTTGTGCAAGTTTCTTGTTGCAAAATTGAATTGTCACAGCAAAATATTAAAACCTCATCCTTGTCAGATTTTAATTTGTGTAGCCAACTTACTTAAAATTCATTTTGTAATTGTGTACGCAGAAAATTGAAGATGGCTGCACAAGTGCTTGAGCAATCTGGAGGGACCAGTATGTTTTCTCGCTCTGGTGTTGGAATCTCTTCAGATGAGGAAATCTGTGGTCTTAATTATCTTTCCAAGAATGACTTGACAGCAGCACCACAGCTGGTTATGTTGGCAAATGTTGCATTAACTGGTGACATAAGCTGTTATGATTACCATGGCGAGGTTAGACAGATGGCAGAATTGAAAACGGTAAATAGCAATTTATCTGACAATGAGGATGATTTAAGAACTGATGTCAATGATGCTTTGCAGTCTGAAAGTCTAAGCGCAGAAGATCAAGCCCTGCCAATTGTTGCAACAAAGGACAATTCTGAGAGTTTTTCTCAAGACACTTGCGACTCAGGTACAGATTCAACAGAAGTTGTAAATCAGGAGAACTTGGCTGACAAGAGAAAAAAACCGAAACCGTTTCGCTGTCGCCCGTGTCAGTATGAAGCTGAGTCCAAGGTGGAGTTTGTGCATCACATCAAAGTACATAGTGCCAAAAAGTTTATTGTTGAGGAAAATGCAGAAAAGCAAACCAAATCCAAAGTTCCTGAACCTCTTCCTGAAGAGACTGATATTTCTAAGGGTCCCATTCGTTGTGATAGGTGTGGATATAACACAAACCGATATGATCATTATTTGGCGCATCTAAAACATCATGACAAGGTTGGAGAGAACGAAAAAGTTTATAAATGTACCATCTGCACATACACTACTGTCAGTGAATATCACTGGAGAAAGCATTTGCGGAACCACTTTCCTCGGAAGATTTATACTTGCTCACAGTGCTCTTATTTCTCCGACAGAAAGAATAATTATGTGCAGCACATGCGAACACACACAGGTATGGTTCATTACTAAGTTGCTGGAATTTCCAAGCAATAATTTGTATTTAAATTACACTTTTGTTACATCCTGTTGAAATCAATTAGTTGTGTTTCAAATCTGGTCACAGCAACTTGGTAGGCAGTGCACCTGCAAGGTTGTACATAGCAAAGTCGAAAAGACTTAACAAGTGAGATGAACAATTGATTTGTTTTTGTTTTTGAAGGTCATTAATAGAGGGATGTTATGCTGCCCTGGGGAACTCCATACTCTTCAATTAGTGCCAGGGATCTTTTACATCAGGAGTTAGGACATTGGTTTAATTTCTCATTCAAAAGACTGCATTACTGACAGTACTCAGTAATGAACTGAAGTTTCAGCCTAGATTATGCCAGCAAGTTCTTGACTGATACTTGACTTGGAGATTGTGCTCCTAAATGAGTCAAGCTGATTCAGTGCATTAAATGGCAACAACTTCTTTCTGACAAAATTTGGTACATGTGGGTACAAGAATGGATTTGGAGTGCATTGCCACTTTTTGTGTTGCAGCATCAACATAGCCATTTTTAAGATTTGAAACAAATAGCTATTCACAGAACACTTCTGCACATTAATATGCAGAATAACTTCAGTGTAAAAGTTTGTTTGAAATTATCAAGCTGTCGCCAAACCAACAGAAGATACTGAGGAATATAAAAGTAATAAAGATTGTTGTATGCACTTCAGGATATCCCAAAGTGTTTTACAGCTAATCACTTTTAAAGCACAGATGTTATTAGATTGGAAATGCACCATGCAATTTGAACAAAGCCATTTCCTAGAAACAACAGTGCGAAAAGTGACAAAATAATCTGATTGGTGTTGGTTGAAAGAAAATATTGGCCAGCGTATTGGAAAGTATTAACATCATTGAAAAGGTTGATTTAGAAAAATAGGTTAAATAAAAAAAATCAGGAAGTGAAAATCATATTGGGATATTTTGTATCCATCTGCAAGAGTTTATGAGGCCTTGTTTCAAAGTAATACTACAGTTGTCTTTCATTAGGGTTTTTAAAGTTATGCTTTGTTGCCATTTAGTTGATGACATTTTTGAATTGTGGTTGAAATACATTCTGTTGCTTTGTCTTAGAGATAACGACACAATTGGACTTGCATTGATGTTTCTACAGCCTGTTAAAATCTGTAGCACTAGTGTTGGTGCTAAGTGGAATGAAATTAAATTTTTGCATGTTAGAGGCTTCTTCAAATAGCACACAAGTATGAGTAAACTGAGTGGTGGACCACTGACGAAGTGATGCATGCAGCTGGGTAATGAATGCTGCAGTCTTATTTTTCAAGAACAATCCCATCAATGATTTTGCCTTCTGTTAGTGATGTTGGTTCAGGTGATTTATCATTTCATTAAAAAGTAATATGACGCATAACATTCTATAAATCAGAATGTTAACTCAGCAAACTAAATTACACATAGTTTTACACACTTTGGCTTGACAGCTACACTGCACTTTGCACAAAATCTTCTCTCGTGACCCAATGCAATCAGGCAGCATTCAAAACATATTTTTAAAAATCTACTTCAAAAATTTACTCCTTGACATATTAGTCATGTATTTTGTTTTTACTTGTTAACAGATGATAAATGATCTGGGCTAACCAGTCAGTAGTTCTTAATGTAATTATTATGATCCTTGTATCCAAATAGAACCAGTTTATTTTATTGTATGACAATCCCTTTAATTAAAGACGATAAGTTGCAGCCCAGATTTGAGAGAAGTACTGTAACAGGAGCAAATTGTACTTCACTGTGCTTTAAACATAAATTACGTATTTTGGTGCACTTGTCCCTAGGAAACGGAAAACTGAGGCAAATCAGTTATTAAAAGGTGATTTTTTTTTATTCGTTCATGGACAAGGGCATCGCTGGCTAGGCAGAATTTATTGCCCGTCCCTAATTGCCCAGAGGGCAGTTCAGAGTCAACCACATTGCTGTGGGTCTGGAGTCACATGTAGGCCAGACCAGGTAAGGATGGCAGTTTCCTTCCCTAAAGGACATTAGTGAACCAGATGGGTTTTTCCTGACAATCGGCAATGGTTTCATGGCCATCATTAGATTCTTAATTCCAGATTTTTTTTATTGAACTCAAATTCCACCTGCCGTGGTGGGATTCGAACCTGGGTCCCCAGAACATTATCTGGGTCTCTGGGTTAACAGTCCAGCGATAATACCAGTATGCCATTGCCTCCCCCGTGGTGATGACCAAATATTTGGTCTAATAGTTGGATTGAATAGAAAGAAGATAAATGCTATTGAAGAAATGGAGGAGTAAGTGGAATGTATGACCGAGATGCCCAAAGCAATAAAGAATGAAAGGGATGCAAATGGCACCAAAATGCTACGTCAGCTTTTATATCTCTAATTACCCTGAAGAAGGTGGTAGTGAGTGCCTTCTTAAACTGCTGCAGTAATTGGGATATAGGGACACCCAACGTGCTCATAAGAGAATACCAGGATTTTAACTCAGCGACAATGAAGGAGTGGTGATGTAGTTCCAAGACAGGATGTTGTGTGACTTGGAAGGCAACTTGCAAATGACAGGAGTGTTCCCATTCATCTGCCATTTTTTAGGTGGTAGAGGTCAGGAATGTGCAAGATGCTGTCAAAGGAGCCTTAATGAATTGCTGCAGTTAATCTTGTAGATGGCACAAATTGCTGCCACTGTAGCTAGGTGGTGAAGGAAGTGAATGTTGAAGGGGTGGATGTGGTGCCACTCAAGCTGTTTGGTCCTGGATGGTATCAAGCTTGTTAAGTATGTTGGAGCTGCAATCATCCAAGCAAGTGGATGGTACTGCATTATGCTCATAACATGAGCCTTGTAGACGATGGGCAGACATTGGGGAAATAGGAGGTGAGTTACTAGTCAAGGAATTCATCGCATCTGACCTGCGTTTGTGGGCCCAGTAATGGTAATGCCAATGGATCTCGAAGGGCATGATTAGATGGTTAGATTCCCTCATGTTGGAGACCGTCATTGCCTGATAGTTGCATGGCGTGAATGTTACTTGCTAGTTATCTGCCCACACCTGGGTGTTGTCCTGCATATGGACAAGCTGCTTCAGGATCTGAGCAGTCAGAAATAGTTCTGGACATTGTGCAGTCATCAGCGAACATTCCCACTTCTGACTTTATGATGGAAAGGAGAACATTGATAAAGAAGCTGAAGATGCTTAGGCCTAGAATGCCACCCTGAGGAATTATTTTGTTATTCACTTAAGGTGAATTGTTCAAGCTTCATTCCAGGCAGTGCTGACATGTGGAGACTGGAATATGCTTTAAATGCCATATTGACATCTAGCAGGATACTCAGACCAAGTAATCTCTGGCTCATTAATAATATTCTAGTTCCGAATTAAAAGGATTCCAAGATCAGTCAACTTCAGTGAATGCAGACTGAAATGGGTTACAGATTAATTAGGGAGTGAGTTGCTGTGGCAACACATTTTGATATGCATATTGTAATCTGGAGCAATGGATAATAATGTTGGAGATTTCAATTTTCATTCCCATCATGTGGCTGAATAGGAATTTCTCCACTCTTACTATATTTTGGAGGTATTTGCAGATTGATGGTTTATCTGTTTGGCTGCAATATGACTGCATTTTCCTTTTGCTTTCAAGTCAGGATACTACCACAGTGCTATGCAGTGCCAGTCCTGCAGACTGGAGTAGCAAGTGAGTGCTATGTTGATCTCTAACTGGATTACTTGCCTGAATGTCCACTGAGTGACAGTTTTGTGCAGTTCATATACTTGGCACAGGTGTAATTTAAGGGGTAGGAAAGCTGCCTTGGATTTCCTTTAGTAAGCGTGCAGTTGAATGCAAAGATAATGAAATTTGGGGCCCTGAGAACTCAAGCAAGGCAAGTCTCCTGTGTCAGCATCGAGTTGAGACCTGCAAAAGGATTTGGGTGTTTAGTTCATTAGTTGTGATTGAATGAGATCGGTTCTACTGAGGCCTTGAAGTGAGTGCCCAAAGGCTTATCTTCATTCTGTTTTCCTATTTTCCCTTTCAATCAAAGGCCAGAAAACAGTTCAAAAGAATCTTCTAGATACTCCAATAGTATTGCATTAAAACAGAGCCTTCATTGTTAAAAGTCAATATGCTGAAAGTGACTTATTAGGGATCAGAATTATTAAAACGAAATGTTTTACTTCAGAGTGCCTTTGTCTTTGTACTAAAATCTCAAAATGCTAGTTGTAGGAGAGTGCAGTCGAGCTGGAATTGGTAGCAGATCTTTTTTTAACTTAGTACAAGCAATGAGATGAGAAATACTTTGAAGCATTGACTTCAAAATTTTGACCTCAACCAGTGTTTTGCATTGAGGGAACATTAGCATCGCAGTTGTGTTACTCCAGTAGTAATTCAAAGGCCTTGACTCCTGCTGTGGCAAGCTGGGCATTGAAATGTAATTTAAAAAAGAATGAAATAAAAAGCTAGTCTTAGTAATTTTGACCATAAATTTACTGGTTTGTCTTGAAAATGTGTCTGGTTCATTAATCGTCTTTAGGATCATAAAGTTTATAACACAAAAGAAAGCCATTTGGCCCGTCATATCTGGTGCTGCTTTCTGCAGGAGAAATTCACTCAGTGTCATTCTTTTTTTCGACCCACAGCCCTGCATTTTTTTAACCTTCAGGTAATGATCCAATTCTTTTCTGAAAGATGCAAATGGATCTGCCTCCAATACATTCTTATGAGATTGAGTCAGATTCTAATCACACAGTGCAAGAAAAAAAATTCCCCAAATTGTCATTTCTGATTTTGCCAATTATCTTAAATTTAATGTCCTCTAGCTCTTGATACTTCTACCCATGGGAACAATTTCTCCCAGTCTACATTGTCCAGATTGTAACTTCATTAAAAATAAATAATGAGGCCTGGAGTAATGGAATCCAAACTGAGCTTTAGTAAGCAGTCTACCGCTCTGTAGGTGACACTTAATAACGCTGTCCAATCAGGTTCTCATGTTCAAATCCCT